GGAGGGAGAGGGTGGTGGGAGGGGGGGGGGGGGGGTCATGAGAAGTCTGTCCAAGGAGTGTTTGGCTAAGAAGTAGATTGATGACAGTGACATTTGGAGGAATCTTAGCGGTAGCTTTGCATGTTGGACCACATAGGTGCACATGGCCATGTGCCCCGAGGAGTCTGAGGCAGCCCCGAGCTTTGGTGAACAGGTATGCAATGACATGGGATATAAGATCTGACAGGGCTGTGAACATAGTTTGTGGTCAGAATACTCTCGCTTCAACAGAGTTGAGCACTGCACCTATGGACTCTATTCTCTGAATGGGGCAGGCCCAAGGCATGACAAGTGGCTCCCAATATCCTGATACTGTATTTCACCTGCTTCTTGGAGCAACTCTTGGCAAGCCAGTCATCCAGGTGGGGATAGATCGGGATCCTCCCATGCCTGAGATAAGCTTCAACTTCTGCCGTGAACTCTGTAAACATTCTTGGCACTATCACTAAGCTGAAGGGGAGTGTTGTGAACTGTTGGTTGGGCTGGCAGAACCTCCTTTGCTGGTGTTGCTGCCGCCAGCATGTCAAATACTGAGTCCACTGATTCAGCCATCTCCTCTGCTGTTAGTCCCAGGCTGGCTGCAACTCTTGTAAGCAGCTCTTGGGGGGTTTTGCATCATCCTGGGGGTACCCACTGTGAGGGACCTGCAACTGTCTCATCAAGTGATGATAACGAGGATGACCTGATCCAAACTGTGAGCCTGGGGGATGGGAGGGGGCAGTATACTGGTGTTGAAGGTCCTTCCAATGCCCTTGAGACTGACTGCATGATCTGCAACATCCATACATAGCCAGGGGTTATACCCTTGCCAGGGCCCCAGCCATTGGCCTTGTGGCCACACATTTGTAGGCTGGCCTAATGGCTGGTTGGTGGGGGCTTGTGACTCCTCGTTGTCTGAGACTGAGGCTAAATATTCATCCTCTGGCGACCATACAGGTACCACCAAAGGGTAAGTTTCCCTACTCTGCCCAGTGGCCTCTCACCTGCTGTTTGGGAAGCGGTACCAGGAGCCTGCTGAGCTATGCCGCACATGTGGCAAGTGACAGAAATGATTATACTGTGGGGTGGGCTGGTTGTGATGGCCAGGAGCATGGCTCTTGACCCTGCAATGACCGGTGATGGAACTCCGATGACTGGTTACAGCAACCAGCAGCAAGGTCCTGTGATCAGTATCCAAGCTCTGGAGACTGGTCATAAGGTTCTGGCAGTGGGTCCAGAGACAAGCGTCAGGGCTCCGGGGACTGGTGTCAAGATCCTGACAATCAGTGCCCAGAGTCTGGTGACCTGTGCCTGGAATTCACCTGATTTTGGGCCTGTGGGCTGGGATGCGGTTTTGGAGGTTGCTAGCACAGTCGTGGGGATTTTCAGGGCATCCCTGGTGATTTTCCCCTTGAAGTGGGCCAGAGGGCAGGCTCCTTGGGCCTCTCTACCCATGGAGTTGGCAGCACAAGTAGGAAGAAAATATCTCTTGCTGCCTGCAAGGCTTCCATGGAGGAAGGCACTGTTAGGTACCACTTGCCTCCAGTGCCTTCACGAGTGGGGAGCAGCTCATGGGACGGGTTGGGTCCCCTTGCCCAAGTCTGCATGAACTTTGCTTATGCCCTGTCCTGTACTTGGACTTAGGAGCAGTGGCAGTGAGTTATACAGGCTAATGGTGCCTGGACTGCAAGAATATTCCTGGCCTGGGGGCACTGCTCCAGCAAAGTTCAGGGCCAGGTCTCTCCTCTGGCCCCACCTGCTACCCCCATACATTCCCCCCTCCTCTCTTTGCATTTCCTGGCCCACCTACCATTCTTGGGAGATTTGAAATGGCCCGGGGGCCCCCCTGCCACCACCAGCAGCCCAGAAGAGGGGGTAGAGCAGCTTGCTGCCTACTCGCTCCACATTGCTGCCAGCATATCCTTGCGGTCTTGGGGGCGAGGTGTCTCCATGCACTGTCCCCACCCTTGCGGTCAATGGAAGCTGCAGGGGTGGTGCCTGTGGGCAGCAGTACATGGAGCACCATGACCCTCCCCACCTAAGAGCTGCTGCCAGAGCGGGGTGCCCCAGCTAAGTGCCACACCTCCCTCCCTACATCTCTGAGAGGGTAAAGCGGGGCTGGGAGAAGTGGGTCAAAGCAGGGGCAGAGATTTGGGGGAAGAGATGGAGGGGGTATGAGGAGTGGAGCAGGGGCAAGGAGAGGTGGGAAGAGGCAGGACCTGGAGTGGAAGGGGTTGTCTCGGGCTCCGCACCCTTCTAGGAATGGCCCTCCCCAGATTAGGGGTAGCACAGACAGGAGTCATGTGGGAGGAGTTGTCATGTAACCTGTTCCCCCCTTGTGTCCCTCCTCAGCTGTCACTGAGCAAGGGTTAGTGTTCCAGCCCCGACACTGGCACTTAGAGGGAACTAAGGGAGGGAGTGGGGCATCGGCATCCCTTGTACTGGCCTATTTGTGCCCCACTCCAACGGGAGCCAGAGTTTGTTCCCTACAGATACCACAGAGGAAAAAGCTTCCAGTGCCAGTTCATCTGATGAGCACACACCCCAACACTGGAATGGATGAGTAAGCACTCAAAGCATTAACTTTTTCTGTATGTCCTACCACTGCTGATTGCCACACTGTTACGTGGAATGAGAGTTTCTCCTCCAATTTTCTCATTATGCCTACCTGATTCCTTCTATACAGCTAAGGTGACTGTGACTGCATGAGTCAATAGTGTAGGGGTCAGAGTTCTCTCTAATTTTTTCCATCTGTGTGTGGAATATTTTTTTCTGATGTGCACCAAAACATGTGTGGATGTGCACCACCATTAGAAACACATGCTGCCAGCTGTGCGCACTCTGCTAATCAGCTGAGTGGCACCTGAATCTCTCCTGGGTGACAGGAACAGGGAACACTGGTGGGGGTCCAGTTTGGCTGCTGCAAAGTGTGGATTGTGAAATAAGATGACTGACTACAAAGAAGCTCCTGTTTCCAGGCCAAGCCCTTTGAAATAAAAGATGAGGCAGACAGAAAGGTGTAAAGGGACAAAGTTACTTTTGGTTGGACTGTGGCTTTGACGGTTGAAAAACTCCTCTCATTATGAATTTGAAGGATGTGCTACAGGAGACCTTGGGGTATGGCACTCAAGGGATTGAGGATGAAATTCTTCCTGTGCAGACGACTTGAAACAAGTCAATACATCACAGAAGCCCTACTTAAGTCCTCAGGGTCTTCTATTTCAGTGCTAGCTATTATTAATTTTTCTTCGGTGACGTATATGCATGGGGGAGGGAGAGGGTGAGTTAACTCTTGAGTGTCCATCTTGAAGGGGAGGAGGAAGTAGGAATCTGAGCTCCTAATTTTGGCTTCCTACTGAAGAGTCATGCAGAACGAGTTGTCTCAACTAGTGCTAGTGAGGATATCACTTCTATAAGAGGCCATTCTGCTAGTGCTGAGTGGGAGAGGGTGCACCAAGCCTAAGTCTGCTCAAAGCAGACTTGCGAGAAAGCAAGAAGGGGTTTTGCAATGATGGCACAGGAGCCAGCTACTTACAGAATTTGGGCACTGCCAAATCTGAGCCAGTTTCTGCTGGCCAGCTAGTTGAATGCTCCACAAAGAGCTGAAGGCACGTGCTTACAGCCTAGGCAGAAGACAAACTGAAGAATGCAAGGCTGAGAAGGAAGAAAAACCTCTTTGAAGCCAAATGATTGGTCACTCTACTAGTGAGTCTGAACTCAGAAAGAAATGCAATTGATCCACAGTGTCCAATGAGCAGGTGTAGAAACCACCCTTATCTCTCAGAGCAAAGTACTAAATCTTCCTAAGCTACATTAAGAACCCCCCGATAGGATTTCCCTATCACCTCTGTAAAAAAAGGCCCCACTCTCATCTGCATTACTTTTAGGCTCACCCAGCTGCTGTAGCCTACGAGGGTGTTATTCCCTCCAACTCAACAGCTGTAACTCTCAGGGGCTACGTCTAGACTGCAAGCCTACTTTCGAAAAAGAGTGTCTAGACTACAACCAGTACTTTTGAAAAAGCAAGTCGCTTTTTCGAAAGAGAGCACTCAGGCAGTCTGGATGCTCTCTTTTGAAAAGGCACAGTTTGCATTACATAGCGCCTTTTTTCGAAAGAGCACTTTTGAAAAGTGTTATTCCTCACAAAATGAGGTTTTCCTCAGTCGAAAAAACTGCCGCATTCTTTCGATTTACTTTTGAAAGAACACGGCAGCAGTCTAGATTCAGGGGAAGTTTTTTTGAAAAAAGGCCACTTTTTTCGAAAAACCCTGTAGTCTAGACACACCCAATCCCATGCACACTAGCAAGCCCTCAGTCAGTAACCTATTCCCTCCCTGGCTTAGTACTCCGAGTCAGTCATCTCCCACATGTTCATCCGCTAGTTCCCAGTCTAGATATTATATCCCATCCCCCCCAAAAAAGAATGGGGTACAACATGAAAGTACCTTTTCCAGCAGACTGTCAGTTTCTTCTTCCATGTTAATCCTGATTCCGGGGCGGGGTCCACCCACCATCTTCCCTTGGTGCCTATATCCTTCCGGCCACCATAGTTACAGATACTGTATTGAAGGGGGGAGCAGCAGGAGCCTGAGATAGCCTAGCTTTGTCCTACTAACAGCTCTGTTGCTAGGAGACCACTGATTCTGTGCTTTGACTGATCCTTTGTTATCTTGCTGTCAACTCTCAGGACTAGTGTGGACCTCTCCCCCACACAGTTATGCTGAAGAACAGGGTTGTCAACAGGCCCCTGTAAGGACAACACACACCAGAGAATAAAACAGATCCAAGCTGCCACCTCTCATCCTTGGATGGCAAAGAAGTCAGTTGATACACAGTGTCCGTTAAAAGGAGCCATTGTGATGTAACACACACCATAAACACCTAACAGGGGGGATAGCTTTGGACACACATCGTGCCATTACACTTCTATGAAATACAGTTTTCCTTAGTTTTTTAGTTTATTCCATTGCCATTTGTCCATGACACCTAATGTATAATGCTTATTCACCTTCCCTATAACTTGTATCCTCAGTCTAGTTGCCTGTTTCCATCTCACTGATTTATGCTACCTTAACTTTTTTTAAGCAATGCATCTTTTCAGGCAGCACTAAACACAAGCTCTTTCATAATTCTGATAGAGCCTTCTTGTACCTAACTTTTAAATATTAGGAAAATTTGTCCATGCTTACTGGAATACTACCTTATTCAACTAATAAACTCCACAGATTTGTTAAAATGGGCCACTTCAGTCTGCTTGACACCTAGCAGTGAAACCAGATCAGTAAGTCACTACCTCTCTCAGATTTCAAGCCCAGAAAGGTCTATTGTGAACATACAGACAGATCTCCTGTATAACACAAAATAATCCCTGTATCGTAGCTTTTAGAAAACCATCCAAGCTTGATTTTAAAATAGCCAGTGACGGAGAACCACTACAATCTTAGGTGGTAAATTGTTACAATGATTAATTACCCCCACTGGTAAAAATGTGCCTTATTTACAGTCTTAGGAATTGTCTACTCTACAAAGCCTTGTCAGTAAAACTAATGTCCACGAGAAAAAAAAAAAAAGACAAATGCAAAGTTACCAAAGGGTCTTTACACTTGCTCCCTCTGTCGACAGATCATGTCCGCAGCATGGATCAGTCATAATCAACAATGTGAGCAACGCATGGTGGGTATGTATCCCACAGGCCTGGCGACACCATCTGCCAGTAGGTATTGTGGAAATGTGGAACACATCTTGGGACTCTGCTAAAAGTCCCATCAGGCACTGCTTTGTTTCCAATGGCCCCAGTGGTTTCCACCTTCCTTTCGTGCCATTCTTTCAAGTGACATTCTTTCCTGTGCACTCCAGCATCCTGCCATGAGAGGGGATGGAGCCTGCTCATCTCTCCCAGGCTCTGTTAAATGTCATGAGGCCATCACACATGGCAGCGCAGTGAATCTTCAAGTTACTGACAGAGGAAGACTCTGAGGCGCGTGGCATTCTGCACGACACAGACAGCAGCAATTTAACATTGCTTTTTGCACTCCAAGGGCAGCACTACAGGGTAGACTGTTGCATTTGAGCTAAGAAAACCAGTTCTGAGGGGTGGGATTGCATCATCAGGCAGGTGCGGGATGAAGAGCAGTGGCTAGAGCTTTAAGATGCATAAAACCACCTTTGTGGAACTGTATGCTGAGCTGGCCCTCGACCTGCTGCATAAAGATCATCAGAATGAGAACTGCCCTCTCGGTAGAGAAGCGTGTGGCAACTGCTGTCTTGAACCTGGTGACTCCAGACTGCTCCTGGCTGTACTATTGCAAGTGTGCAGGGTGATAATAAATAATTCTTCTTCGAGTAGTGTCCCCGTGGGTGCTCCACTGTAGGTGAAGGGTCGCCCTGAGCCTCAGATCGGAGCTTTGTATAGCAGTTTTCCCTGTTGAGCCACGCATGCCCAGGAGGCGTCTCGAGCCCTTCCCGCCTCCTGAGGAGCGCGGCTCAACCCCCTCCCTTTCAGTTCCTCTTTAACCGCCTTTCAGTTCCTCTTCAACCGCCCTCGCCTGCGGACGGAGCAAACAGGAGCTCCCTGTCAGACTCTCTGACTACCTTTTTTCTCCCTAGTTTAGTTATAGTTCTTTCCCCTGATATCCAAGTTACCTTCCCTGTTTCTTTTTAAAAGAAGAAAAAGAATTTTTAGTAATAAGGGAAATACACTTACCTAACCCCCCCCTCCCCCCTCGGGGGGGCTTGAATCACCTCAGACCGGGTCTCAGAGATACCGGAGTTTTCACAGCTCTTTAACACAGAGAAGAAAGAACAGATTAAAAAAAAAAAAAAAAGAAAGAAACCAACACGGACTGACGACAACAGCAGGAACACTAAAATAAATACAAAAAAAAAAAAAAAAAGCTTAAAGAGGAGAGAACCGGACATGTCCGCCTCCTCAGGCTTTAAGAAGTGCGACCAATGCCGGGACCCTATGCCGGCTTCGGATGGTCATTCAAAATGCATTCGCTGTTTGGGGGAATCTCACTCTCCCCACAGCTGCACTCATTGTAATTCCCTCACGGCGAGAGCCAGGAAAGACCGTGAGCTCCGCCTAAGAATGATCCTATTCGAAAAAGCCTTGCAGCCCGCAGAACAGCCGGGAACGCGCCAAGAGCCTCCCCCTCTCTCCAGAACCGAGCTGAGGGGTAGAGCCTCACCATCCCGCTCCTTATCAGCCTCCTCCTCTCCTAAACATGGAGTAGAGGCACACCAGACCGGGAGGACGCCCGCCACAAAGGCTTCGGGGCGATCCTCCCACTCCGCGCCGGCATCGGGGCACGCCACTGCTGAGCGGCCCCGGGAGCGTTCAAAACAGCCGGCACGGCAAGAAAAGCCGGCGCCGAAGCAAACCGCGGTGCCGCTTCAAACCACGGCACCGCTCTCAGCCCGACGCTGCCTCAAGCTTCGGCGGCGCTGAGAGCCACAGCACAGCTTAAAGCTGCGGTGCCGACCGGCAATGTGACAAGAGCCCCCCCACACCCTCCAGGAGTGAGCCTAGGGTCAGACCCTCACCATCCCGCTCCCTACCAGCCTCTTCCTCTCCAAAACATGGAGGAGAGGCACACCAGAGCAGGAGGACCCCTGCCACAAAGGCTTCGGGGCGATCCTCCCACTCCGCACCGGCACTGGGGCGCGCTACAGCTGAGCGGCCCCGGGAGCGCTCCAAACAGCCAGCAGGGCAAGAAAAGCCGGCGCCGAAGCAAACTGCGGTGCCGCTTCAAACCGCGGCACCGCTTCCAGCCCCGACGCTGCCTCAAGCATCGGATGAAGAGGCGGACCAAATCTCTGACAATGAATCAGACATTCATTCAATAAATGTCACACATTCTGATGCTCCCGATACACAATCAGATGAAGCCGTAGTACCATCAGATTCTGCACCAATTGATGATCTAAAACAGTTCCAGGAACTATTCAAGAGGGTAGCGACAAGCCAGAATGTTTCCCTGAAAGAGGTCCAGAAAAAACAGTACCAATTGCTAAAAAATCTCCATCCTACATTACATAGCAAGATTGCCCTGCCTATAGACGAGGCAATAATGGAGACCTCGGAAGACCTCTGGAAAACACCTGCATCCATTCAACCAACTAATAAGAGAATCGACAGGAAGTACTTTGTCCCATCAAAAGACAACGACTTTCTCTTCACACACCCACAACCTAATTCATTAGTCGTAGACTCAGCACAACAACGTGCAAAGCTCCCACAATACAAGTTGGGCAATGCAAACAAGGACCACAAAAAGTTGGACTCTTTTGGCAAGAAGGTATACTCCTCTTCCACCCTACAACTCAGAATATCAAACTACTCCGCTCTTTTAGCAAATCATGACTTTGACAATTACTCGAAACTGGGAGAACTGGTGCCACATCTCCCTGAGTCCAAAAGATCCATCTTGAAAGCAATAGTTCATGAGGGCCATATGATCACCCGCACCACTCTCCAAACCGCAATGGATGTTGCTGACACCGCAGCCCGAATTACAGCTAGAGCGGTGGTCATGCGTAGAGCTTCTTGGATCCAGTCGTCAGGAGTTCCCCGCGAACTCCAGCCTAAAGTGGAAGATTTGCCATTCGACAAGCAAAAGCTATTTGCAGCTACTACGGACGAAATGATCCATAACAGCAAAAATTATAAGTCCATACTTCACACGTTGGGCATGTACACGTCGCCCTATAAATGTGGACGATACACCCCATATAACTCATACAACCGATACCGATATGGGCAATACAATCGACCACAGAGGCCCTATGAAGACACTAGACCAAGGCAACGAGGTCCCAGAAGGCGCCCCAACCAGGCCCGCCCACCAACTACCCAACCATCTAAACAACAAATTTGAAGATTTGGTCGAGGGCCTACAACACCTCTCTTACGATCTACCACGAGTTCAACATGGCCATCTATTTACCCACCGTTTGCGGCCATTCCTTCCTCAATGGGAATCCATAACATCGGACCGCTGGGTTTTAGAGATAATTCGAGTGGGCTACACCATCCCATTTACCTCTGTCCCCCCTACCCTTCCCCCTATCCCGTCCCTCTTCAGGGACCACTCTCACGAAACCCTTCTAAAACAAGAAATCGATCGACTCCTCCTCATCGGAGCTGTAGAAAGGGTACCCCAAGAGTTCCACGGGAGAGGGTTTTACTCAAACTATTTCTTAACCGAAAAACAAACAGAGGGTTGGAGACCTATATTGGACCTCTGCAAACTGAACAAGTTTCTCAAGAAACAGAATTTCAAGATGGTCACACTTTCCACAATCATTCCTGCACTAGATCAAGGGGACTGGTTTGCAGCCCTCGACCTCAAAGATGCCTATTTCCATGTAACCATCCACCCCTCCCAGAGATGCTACCTACGCTTCACGTTGGGACCAGATCACTTCCAGTACAAGGTTCTTCCCTTCGGTCTCTCATCAGCTCCGAGGGTATTTTCGAAGGTACTGGCGGTCGTAACGGCGTATCTCAAACGACAAAACGTCGTCATATTTACCTATCTAGACGACTGCCTTCTAAAGGGATCCTCGTACGCCGAAACGGCCTCTATGATACATACAACCACGACCTTCCTCAGTCGTCTAGGCCTTCTAATCAACCAAGACAAGTCAACTCTGCACCCGGTTCAAGACATAGAGTTCATTGGTGCACGCCTGGACTCAATTACAGCCCGGGCATACCTACCTCAGCAACGTTTTGCAACTATGCAAGAAATTATAAACGGGATGCTTACAGTTCCTACCACCACGGTACTTACATACCTCCGACTAACGGGGCACATGGCTTCCACCACC